CTGGGGATCCGAACCCGCCACCTTAGGTGTATGTGGCTGGCGCCTTAGCCGCTTGAGCCACAGGCGCCGAGCCGTCTCAGCCTCTTGAGTAGCTGGGACTATAGGCTCCTACCACAACACCCAGCCATTTTTTGTTTGCAGTTTGGCTGGGGCTGGGTTTGAACCTACCACTCTCAGCATATGGGGCTGGCGCCCTGCCCACTGAGCCACAGACACTGCCCTGCACTTGCCTTTCCAGTAGTCACTTTGGTGGTATCTATTTCAATTTTATGTACACGTTCCCTGGGATGGAAGAACTCAACTGGTAGAAGTTTTTCCTAGAGGGTATCGCAAATGAGTGCACAAAGATACATGTTGAAGGAAAGTGGTGATAGTAGGGTCTGCAGCAAGATCCTGTTAAGAGCCAGTCCCCAGGCTGGACGTAGTGGCTCACGCCTCTAATCCTAGTACTCTGAGAGGCCAAGGTGGGTGGATCTCTTGAGTTCATGATTTTGAGACTAGTCTGAGCAAGAGTGAGACCATGTCTTGACTAAAAATGAAAAACTGAGGCAAGAGGATCGCTTGGGCCCAAGAGTTGGACATTGCTGTGAGCTATGACTATACAATACTCTACCAAGACTAACAAAGCGAGGGTCTGTCTCAAAAATAATAAAATAAAAAGAGCCAGTACCCAACAAAGGGATCAAGTAAGCATCAGGGTATGACACGGTTGCTCATTCCAGGGAAAGATCTGACACATACCAGGTGAAAAATCTAAATGGGAATGAAAAAAGATTTCTAAGGCCTTTGTATTTGGGGTCAGGCCCTGACCTGGAGCCTTTCTCAATGGACTTCACCATGAATGGTGAATGGACTTCTAGTTAACAACCTGTTTCTTTCTCTAGTATTTAGGGACAAGTCAATCTCTGATGCTGTGCTCTTTTTATTAGCACCTTACATCCTTGAGCACACTGGTACTTGTATTTTCTCAGCTGTGTATGTCTTTGTAATACAGGCAAAGAGGACACAGGGCATGTGGCAGACCAGTTCTGGGGAAGGTCTGTTTACTATCAATAAAAACCCTGGGTTTCTTCCTCTTTTGTAGTAACAGGAGAAAAACGTGAATTTAAGGTAAAAATCTGCTCTCAAGACATATCCCAACAATTGTCCACACAGTGATGTTTAATAGTGTCCTTGAAAACCTCTGAAAGCCAGGAGTGCCTTACAAATACTGAGCTAGGTGGGGAATCCTATCCAGGGGGTGGTAATCTTGATGGATCACTGGGTCTAGGACAGAACATTAGACTCAATACTTGCACCAGACCTGCAAGGGACTCTGGGTTTACACTGATACCACTCTTCTGCCCTACAAAAGGGGTGAAGGTGATGGAAGCCTCCAAGTGCAAGTAGGGTGAAGGAGGAACTAAATTTTTTTTTGAGACAGGGTCTTGTTGTATCACCCAGGCTGGAGTGCAGTGGAGTCATCATAGCTCATTGTAGCCTCAAATCCTAAGCTTAAACAGATCCTCCTAGGCCAGGCTCTGTGGCTAATACCTGTAATCTTAGTACCCTTGGAGGCTGAGATGTGGGGATTGCTTAAGCTCAAGAGTTCAAGATCAGGCTGAGCAAGAGTGAGACCTTGCTTCTACTAAAAATAGAAAAATTGGCTCGGTGCCTATGGCTCAAGTGGCTAAGGCACCAGCCACATACACCTAAGGTGGCGGGTTCGAATCCAGCCCAGGCCCGCCAAACAACAATGATGGCTGCAACCAAAAAATAACTGGGCGTTGTAGCAGGTGCCTGTGGTCCCAGCTACTTGGGAGGCAGAGGCAAGAGACTCGCTTGAGCCCAGGAGTTGGAGGTTGCTGTGAGCTGTGATGTCATGGCACTCTACCCAGGGGGACAGCTTGAGGCTCTGTCTCAAAAAAAAAAAAAAAAAAAAAAATTTAAAATTTAAAAATAGAAAAACTAACCAGGCATCATGGTGAGCACTCATAGTCCCAGCTACTCAGGAGGTTGAAGTAAGAGGATCACTGGAGCTCAAGAGTCTGAGGTTGCTGTGAGCTATAATGATGCCATAGCACTCTACCCAGGGTGATAGAGTGAGACTCTGTCTCAAAAAAAAAAAAAAAAAAGAAAGAAAGAAAAGGAAAGAAAAACAGATCCTACTGCGACAGCCTGCCAAAGTACTAGGATTATAGGCCTGAGTTGCCTCACCCAACCAAGGAAAAACTATTGAAAGCACGATGCTTAGGGGAAGGATTCAGAAATGGTATCTTTAGGCCAGGTGTGGTGGCTCACTCTTGTAATCCTAGCACTCTGGGAGGCTGAGGTGGATGGATTGCCTGAGCTCACAGGTTTGAGACCTGCCTGAGCCAGAGTGAGACCTCGCCTCTAAAAATAGCCAAGCATTGTGGCAGGCACCTGTAGTCCCAGCTACTTAGGAGGCTGAGGCAAGAGAATTGCTTGAGTCCAAGAGTTTGAGGTCGCTGTGAGCTATGACACCATAGCACTCTACTGAGGGCAACAAAGTGAAACTCTGTCTCAAAACAAAACAAAAAAAAGAAACAGAATCTTTGAGGACATTACTGCCCATGCTTGCTCTCATACAGGGGGTATAAACTGCAGCCTGAGGGCCAAACCTGGCCTATTTTTGTAAATAAAGTTTTGTTGGCACATAGCCATGTCTTTGTTTACCTATTTCCATGATCATGGCTTTTGCCAAGGTTACCTCTCCCGTGTTTGCCTCAACTGGCTCCCAGGCAGCACGACAAGAACTGACCTTCCGGGTTGGCACCCATAGCTCAGTGAATAGGGTGCCAGCCACATACATTGAAGGTGGTGGGTTCCAGCCTGGCCTGGTTCTGCTAAACAATGACAACTGCAACCAAAAAATAAATAAATAAATAAATAATGGCCAGGCATTGTGGTAGACGCCTGTGGTCCCAGCTACTCAGGAGGCTGAGGCAAGAGAATCACTTGAGCCTAAGAGTTTGAGGTTGGCTCGGTGCCTGTGGCTCAAGTGGCTAAGGCGCCAGCCACATACACCTAAGGTGGCAGGTTCGAATCCAGCCCGGACCCGCCAAACAACAATGATGGCTGCAACCAAAAAATAGCCGGGTGTTGTGGCGGGTGCCTGTGGTCCCAGCTACTTAGGAGGCTGAGGGAGGAGACTTGCTTGAGCCCAGGAGTTGGAGGTTGCTGTGAGCTGTGAAGCCATAGCACTCTACCCAGGGGGATAGCTTGAGGCTCTGTCTCAAAAAAAAAGTAAATAAATAAAATAAATAAATAAATAAGTAAATAAAAGAGTTTGAGGTTGCTATGAGTCATGATGCCATGGTATTCTACTGAGGGCGACATAGTGAGACTCAGTCTCAAAAAAGAAAGAAAGAAATGACTTTCCATGTCTGAAAAGCTGCTTGGAGGTGCTCAATGTCCTCATTGCCCTTAAGTTCTAGGATTCAGACCCCTTAGAACAGTGGTTCCCAACCTGTGGGTCACAACCCCTTTGAACTGTATTAAAAGTTTGTGGCATCAGGAAGGTTGAGAACCACTGCCTTAGGAGCTGGGTAGCACTTCAGGGTGTCCCAGCGAGTCTATAGACCAAAACCCTAGGGAGCATGGGCACCCATGGATTCCAGGACATACCCAGACCCAATCTTGGATGGAGGGAACCAGGAATCCCTACTTTGGGAAAAGGCTGATTCTGGGACACTCTGTTTCAAGATGGGCATCTGAGAGCCTTCTCTAAGTCTCAATGGCAGGTATAAGCAGGGCTGATCCCTCATGGAGGCTTTAGGAGAGGAACCTTTTTTCTTTTGAGACAGAGTCTCAAGCTGTCGCCGTGGTATCACAGCTCACAACAACCCCAAATTCTTGGGCTTAAGTGATTCTCTTGCCTCAGCCTCCCAGCTGGGACTATTGGTGTCCGCCACAATGCCCGGCTATTTTTTTTGTTGAAGTTGTCATTGTTTTAGCTGGCCCAAGCAGGGTTTGAACCCACCAGCCTTGGTGTATGTGGCCAACGCCCTACCCACTGAGCTATGGATGCTGGAGGGACCTTTTCCTTCTTGCCTTTTCTGAAAGCCACCATAGCCCTGGACTCCGTCTTCCCTGGATCTTGCCCTACTCTGCTCCAACTTACCAACATTAGTGGGGAAGAGGTCCTCATTGTTGATCTGCACCTCAATCCAATCCATGAGTAGGTCCATGTACTTGGGGGCAGACAGTGCTGTGGGCTTCCGGAATCTGTGCTCGTCTTGCCAGCGGTACTCATACTTGGGACCCCCTGACATGATGGGGCAGGACTCCTCTGTGCAGCCATCACTGATGGTACCATAGATGAGGTTGACACGGTTGAAGAAGTCCACCACATGCACAGCCACCCAGTCATTGAGGTCCTCACCTGGGGGCAGCTGCACAGCAAGCCTCAGGTCCAGCCCTGAGTTCAGGGATGCCTGTGCCTTCTTGTGTAGCTCGAAACGTTGGGTGCCTGGCTCAAACTTGCGCTTGGGGCGGAAAGTCTTGTCCTTGTTGAAGACTTGTTTTAGGAAGGGGTTGGACATCTTCGCAGCGCCTACGGTCTCTCAGAATGTTTCCTCTGAGAGATCCTGCAAGGCTAGTTCCCAAGAGACCCTGGAAATCTCACTAAGCCCCGAAGCTCTTCCTGGAGATCTAAATACAGAGATGGGAATAATTATGATCTGCCCCAGGTAAAGGTTTTCCTGGAAACTTGGTTCTAGAGGCACAAATGGGCTGGATTTGGAATATTCCCTAAGACTTTCATTTTAAAGAATCTTTCTTTTTTTTTGAGACAGTCTCACTCTGTCACTCTGGGTAGAGGGCCTGGGTTGCATCATAGCTCACAGCAACCTCAAACTCTTGGGCTCAAGTGATCCTCTTGCCTCACCCTCCTGAGTAGACTATAGGCGTCTGCCACAATGCCTGGCTATTTTTTCTATTTTTCGTAGAGACAAGGTCTAACTCTTGCTCAGGATGGTCTGAACTCCTGAACTCAAGTAATCCTCTTGCCTCAGCCTCCCAAAGGGCTAGGACTACAGACATGAGCCACCATGCCTAGCTAGTTTTAAAGAATTTCACCAAAAACAGCTTGGCGCCTATAGCTCACTGGCTAGGGCGTCAGCCACATACACTGGAGCTGGCAGGTTTAAATCCAGCTCAGGGATGCCAAACAATGACAACTACAACAATAACAAAAATAGCCGGGTGTTGTGGTGGGCGCCTGTAGTCCAGCTACTTGGGAGGCTGAGGTGAGAAAATCACATAAAACCCAAGAATTTAACGTTGCTGTGAGCTGTGATGTCATGGTACTCTACCCAGGGCAACATAGTGAGACTGCCTAAAAAAAAAAAAAACACCAAAAATGATGTCAGTTTCTCAGTGGATAAAATAAAATCTCCATGAGGCCTGGCCCGAATGTCTCAGAGGAGAAGAAGATGCCAATAGCCAGGGTACTAAATGACCCAGAGTGGCTGAGTTGCTCCCCTAAAGTCTGACCTGGATGCTCTGAGCATACTAAGATGCCCACAGTGGCTGCAGGTGACTACAGCAGGCTGAACTGGGCTGTCTACAAAGGAATGTCCATGTCCTGATGATTGGAAGCTGTCAATGTGATCTAAAGTTGGGATGAGGTCACCCTGGATTATCTGTGTGGGTCCTAAATCCAGTGACAAATAACCTTATAAGAGACAGAGGGAGATAGCCCTAGGAAGATGGTGACAGAGATCAGAGTGATGTGTCTGGAAGCCACAGAAGCACAAGATGGCCAGCAACCTCCAGAAGCTGGGAGAAGCCTAGGACAGACTCTCCCTCATGACCTTAGAGCAGTGGTTTTCAACCAGTGTGCCATGAAAAGATCTTAGGTGTGCTGGGAAAATTTTTAAATATTATTAATTAGGCTTAGTGCCCATAGCTCAGTGTTGGGGTGCCAGCCACATATTCCAGGGCTGGCAGGTTCAAACTCGGCCCAGGCCTGCTAAACAACAACAGCAACAGAAAAAAAAAATAGTCGGGCGTTGTGGCTGGCACCTATAGTCCCAGCTACTTGGTAAGCTGAGGGAAGAGAATTGCATAAGTCCAAGAGTTTGAGTTTGCTGTGAACTGTGACGCCACGGGACTCTACCCAGGGTGACACTGTGAAACTGTCTCAAAAAAAGATCATTAATTAAATTTTTCGAAAGAAGTTCAAAGCACTGGCTCGGCGCCTATAGCTCAACCGGC